TCCGCCGCGGGACTTGATCCCAGGACCCCAGGACCACGACCCAAGCGGAAGGCAGCCGCCTAACCAATGGAGCCAGCCAGGTGCCCTAGAGTGTGTCTTTAAAGAAAAAAATCTATGCATACAACCAAAGACACATGCAAACACATCAGAATGGTTTCCTACGGTGGGTGGGGGAGGAGGAATGGGAATAAAAGGGAATACATCAATAAATACAAAAGAGATGAAGGCCCTGCCTGAACCAATTAAATGTATAATGAACTGAGAAGTCTGATTAACTCAATAAAAAAATCTAAGATGAAATAAAGAAGCTGGGGAAAGTAAGAAAAAGAAGCTGGGGAAACAGAATGGCTTGCCTGTATCCCACCCAGAAAGCCCAGGAGGCTAACTCAGTCTGTCCCTGGTGAGCCACTCTGCCTGAACCCCACTCGGTCATCTGGCACTGGGGTGGATGAATATGTGCATTTGTCTTTCACAACTTCATAATGAATCCGGTGGAATTTCATGTCCATTTCAAGCCCTCCTCCCCAAGGTCTCACCTGTACAGAAATGATGCACCAGGTGATCTTCAAAACAACACATCAAATCCTGTCACCCCTTGACTCAACACTGCATGGCCTGACACACAAGCCCTGTGTAATTACACATTCGCTTCCTTTGCACAAGCTGTTCCTGTGTCCAGAATGCCCTCTGCACTTCTCTGCACAGAGACCCCAAGATGCAGTTTAATCACCAGCTCCCCGAAAAGCCCTCAGTGAAATCCCCCAGTCTCCTCTGCTTCATACACCTCTGTGGAGGACACCCATACCGCACACCTCTGAGTCCTCAGCTCTGTGGCACAGTAACTGCCTGTCTACAGGTCTCCCCGCACCAGACAGTGAGCTGCTCAGGCCTGGAGGCCAGTCTTGTCCTCTTTCTCCCCGCAGTGCCCAGCCCAGGGCCTGGTCCACAGTGACTGTTCAGTGAATGGTTGCTGATTAAATGGTGCATCCACATCCTAACTCTTGGGCTAGGGTGCCTGGGCTCAAACCTGCAGGGGGGTTGACAGGAAGAGTTACGACTGAAGTATTAAAATCCCCACTAAGGCATGCATGGGTTTTGTCCCCAGACTTCAGCATCGTGAAACAGAAGGGACCCTTTTGGGGCGAAAGGAAAGAAGTTTGTGCAAATCATAGAAAGGTCCTCTTTGCCTGACACAGAACTGGGCAGCCTCCATTGACCCAACTCTTACACTTCTGCACCGCTCAACTCTATCCATTCTCCACCCTACCCACCACTCCTCTGCTTAAAACCCAATAGATTCCTACTGTATTCAGAATAACCCCCCTTCCTTTATTTATTTATTGTTAGTAATTCTCCACACCCAATGTGGGGCTGGAATTCACCATCCAGAGATCAAGAGTCGCATGCTCCTCTGACTGAGCCTGCCTGCCGCCCCCCCACCCTCCTTTTTATGGCCTAGGAATCTCTATATGAGTTGACTCCCAACCACCCCTCCAGCCTCATCTACCACTCTCCCCCTTACTGGCTATACTCCAACCACACTAGCCTCCTTCCTGTCCTTGACAAGAGTTTATTTCTGTCTCAGGGCCTTTGCACTAGCTGTTCCCTCTGCCTGATACAACTCTTCCCCAAAATGTTCCCACGACTTGCTCCTTATCAGGGTCCTGTGTCCACGTCACCTCTTCAGAGATGTTCTCCTACCCGTATCTAATGCTGACCCCTCTGCTCCACACCCACGCCAGACACTCCATCTTATCACTCTGTTCCTTTTCTTCACTGCACATCTCTATTTAAAGTTTCAAATCTTTTTTTTTTTTTTTTTTTTGGTCATTAACGGAAACTAGAGGGAGGGCAAAGCTCACCATCTCCCCTAGGCTACAGCTCCTACTAGAAGCTTCACCTGTATTAACGTGCAAAATGACTGGCAAACTCCCACTCATCCTTCCAAAGACCCTCCCTGCTCGAATGCCCCGTCTGGCCCCCTCGTCCACACCGGGTTACCTCCGACCCGACCGGGTCGCACCGGGACCGGACGTCTCAGTTCGCGCGACTCCCCTGGCAGAGGCGGCTCCTCGAGGGTCCTACGAGTCCGTGGGACTCCAGCTCCGGCCCGGGCCCGACGACTGAACGGAAAGCCAGCGAAGGGGCAGGCTGGGGCCGCGGTTTGTCGGGGCTCCGGAGAAGGCCTGGGGCCTGGGAGCCCGGCCGAGCTGCCGTCTGCCTCGCCCCCGCCGGCCCGTCCGGCGTACCTCGCCCTCCGCCCGCACCTTCCGGCCCGGAAGCCAGCCGGCTCTCACCTTGTCCCCGCAGCCGGGGCCCTGGCTTCCGGCGCCTCTGTCATCGGAACCGGAAGCCGCGGCGGTTGCGCGGCGGATCTGGACCCGCCCACTCGCGGCTTCGCGGAGGGGTGGCCGTCCCGCGGGCCCACGGCTTTCTGCTCGAGCGCCGCGCGTCCCCCTCCCGCGAGCCTGGAGTGGAGTCGCCTGCAGGAGCTGGGTTGCCGCTGGAAGCCCGGCTTCCCGCCGCTCGGCTTTCGCCCCCGGGATTTCCCCGAGTGCCCACAGCCGCAGGGGGAGCCACGACCCTCCCTCTCGGCGGGAAGGAATCGGACCGACCCACTTGCGGGCCGGTGGGGGTGCGCGGGCCTGGGGGGCCGGGCTTCCCCTTCCTTCCCGGGGTCCCAGCGCCCCAACTCGGCTCTCGGAAACCCGAACCCCGAAACGACTCTGCCTTCCCGGCGCCCTGCCTTTCGCCCTCCTTCAAAATGAAGACAAACCCGAACAGCACAGTGCATGCCAGGGGTCCAAGAGTTAAGCTTTCCTGCTGTGGCTCCTTGGTGCTCTTTTTAAAAAATATCAAGTGATCTTTAAAAGAAAAGTCCTTTTTTTCTACCCCAGCCTCGCTGGTCCCCTAAGCCTGTACTTCATCTACCCATTAGGTATTCAACAGAAGGATTCTGCTTGGGGGTCCCAGCCCCTGTCTTGCCGCCCTCGGTGACCGCCCTCCTTGGGGGGCCGAGGAGGGGGAGAGAGGGGGATTGCACAACCGTCCTAAGGAGGAAGGGTAAAGGTTAAGAAGGAAGAGAAAGGCGGTGACCCCAAACGCAGGCCAGGACTGAATTCACGATCCTCCCAGGCCCCCTTGCTATGCAGGGGAGGGGCAGAGAAGTCCCCCAACCCCCATTTCCTCCGTAGGCCTCAGGGACTTTGACTAGAAACAGCCCAAGAGAAAAGGCTCTATCTCTGTTTCCCTGACTTCCTGCTCCCTTTGGGGATCAATGTCATTCCAGAGCAACCTCCCCTCCCTCCCCCCACCCCCCTAAACACCTTGCACAATCTTGTTTTCTGTTTAGCGTTTGCACAATCCAGTTTTGTTTTCTTTATGGCATTTGACTCAAAATTGTGTGTTTATTCGTTCATTCTGTCTTCCTGCCCCTAACGCGCGCACACACACACACACACACACACACACACCTTTTAGGATAAAAGGTCCATTGGGGCCAGGACTTTGTACTCATCACTGCTGTATCCCCAACACCATGTATTTGGAACACAGTAAGTGCTCAAAAATACTCCCAGCTAGCCAATATGCTCTACTTATGAATGAGGGAACCGGCGGCTCCAAAACCATATGACACATACAGGGAAGAGGGTGGTCCGCGGCCCCACGGGGAGCCCGCGGGGGCGTCCTCGGAGCATCCCAGAGAGGCCTGTCTGTGCACCTCGAGCCTGGGTGGTCCTGGCCCACGCGGGGGCCGCGGGAGCGGAGAGTTGAGTGAACCCTTCCTGGGGCCACCGGCTAGGCTGAAGCCGCCTCCAAGCCGGCAGGACCTCACAGACCTGCCCAAACGCCCTAGGCTTCCTCACTTCCTCTGGGGGAGCCCTTGCCTGCCTCACAGCCCAGGTGGGCGTGAGCAAAGCCTGGCTTCTCCAAGGACTTTGAATGTCCCGCCCGCGCGCACGCGCATTACACACGCACACGCACACACCCATACCAGGCCATTCCACCTCTATCTGTCATTGTCGTCCACCCCAAAGGTGGCTCTCCTTGCACGGCAGCTTTGTTACTTCTCAGGGTGCACCGTTTTATTACATAGATGATTTTGCCAATCTTTGCTCGGTGGGACTGTGGCTTTTGTTTTGTTTTGTTTGTGTTGAGGGGTGGGGCTGCTTCGAAGCAGAAAAACTTAGCTGGTCTCCACTAACGCAGTAATAGTCCCTTTAATCTTTCGCTAGTTTCCTAGGATTTGATTTTTTTTTTTAATTTAACTCCTCAATACATGTCTATTTTATTTTGCAGGGGGTAGTGCAAAGTATGGCTTATTTTTTCCCCCAAATTTTTGTCCAGTTATCCCAGTACCTCTTACTAAATAATCCTACCTTTTCCCTCTCATTTGGAAGCCTTTTATCCTAACATTAAGATTTTCTACAGAATGGAATCTATTTCTGGCTCTTCATTCTTTCCATTGAGGTGTAGTATTATTGTTTTACTTGCTACTTTGTAATATGTTCTAATGTGTGGGGGGATTATACACTGCTCACAAAAAGGAAAAAAAAAAGGAAAGGAAGGGTATTAAGAAAGCAGATCACTGGTTGTTGGGGAATGGGGGGAGGGCTGACTGAGACACAGGGGAATTTGGGGGGCATGATGGAGCTATTCTGTATCTTGATTGTAGTGTTGGTTATGCAACTTTCTGCGTTTGTCAAAGTTCTAAAAACTGTACTCTACAAAGGAAGCATTTTCCTGTATGTAAATTATACCTTAAAAAAATGCTGGGGGGGGGACCAGGTACACAAAGAACACACTAGATTAAAAAAAAAAGAAAAAAGGTTCGTGGCAGACAAAACAAGCGTTCTGAAAATACAGCCTTCCTTGCTTCTCTGAGTTGAGCCCTGGAAGGCCAGGCTAGGAAAAGATGGACCCTCCCCTGATAGCTGGTTGGGGTTAGGGCAACAGCAGGTGAGGCAGACACTGCCTACCCTTTGTGGAACCTGGGAGCATCGGGCCTCAGCCCATGGAGCTCAGGTTGCCTACTCAGGCCTCTTCCTTCCACCCTCCAGGTGGCACCCAACCAGTCTCCTGCTCCTTCTGTTTCTGCCCCTCCTTGTAAGGCCTTGGTTTAGGCCAGGAGCAGCTACATCATTTGCAGGCTCTGGAGCAAAATGGAAATGTGAGGCCCCTTGCTCAAGCATCATTAAGAAGTTCAAGATGGCAACAGCAGATGGGGCGCGTGGGTGGCTCAGTCGGTTAAGTGTCTGCCTTCAGCACAGGTCATGATTTCCGGGGTCCTGGGATGGAGCCCCGCGTTGGGCTTCCTGCTCAGCAGGGACTCTGCTTCTCTCTCTCTCTCTAATAAATAAATAAAATCTTTAAAAAAAAAATGGCAACAGCAGCGCCTCGCAGTTAGTGTTGGGCCCTTCTGAGTGTGGTCCTGAGTGACCACACAGGTCACACACACGTAAAGCTAGTCCTGGTTCTGGCCCTCCCCTTTGACTGCCTGAGGGACCCACTCACAGCCTGAAGTCCTCCTGTGCCAACTTACCAGTCTGTCTAGGGGCTGCCTTGCCTCCCCTCAAGTCCTTCTAGACAGGACCCTCCCTCCGAACTGCCCCACACCTCCCTGTGTTCAGTTCCAGGCTGATCCTGGATGCCCTCATCCCACCCTGCTCCTGAGGAAATCCCCCCAATTTCCCTTCCTCAGAGAAGTTTATCCCTGTTAAGAAAAAAAGTACTCATGGCACTTGTCAAAGAGTGGTAAGGAAGACTTTATTCAAGAGGGGATACTGCAATGGGGGTTTTGTAGTAGGGGAGAGAGTGGGCTCAACTCCAAATACAACAAGGAAAAGTAGAATTGATGGCCAAGGAGCAGGTGTGGGGGATCAGTAGATGAAAAATTACTAAGAGGACACCTCCAGGGCGGGGCGGGGGGGGGGACGGCCAGGAGGTAGCCTGGCTAACTGTACCTCACAGGAGTCTTGCTGAAGGCAGGCCAGCTATCACCTGGGGGATGGTGGAAGATGAAGAACCAGATTACATATGGAGGGGAGTCAGATATGGAAGATGGGGATTCTGGCTAAACTAACTTAGCAAGAATCTTGCTAGAGGGCGCCTGGGTGGCTCAGTCGTTAAGCGTCTGCCTTCGGCTCAGGTCATGATCCCGGGGTCTTGGGATCAAGTCCCACATCGGGCTGCCTCCTCGGGGGAAGCCTGCTTCTCCCTCTCCCCCTCCCGCTGCTTGTGTTCCTGCTCTCGCTATCTCTGTCTCTGTCAAATAAATAAAAAATATTTAAAAAAAAAAAAAAAGAATAAAGTGTGTCTTTTAAAAATTTTTTTAAAAGATTTTATTTGTGAGACTGAGCACGAGACAGAGAGAGAGCAAGCAAGCAAGCACAGGACGGGGGTGGGGTGTCAGAGGGAGAGGGAGAAGCAGACTCTCCACTGAGGAGGGAGCCTGACGTGGGGCTCAATCCCAGGACCCTGTGATCATGACCTGAGTTGAAGGCAGATGCTTTTTTTTTTTTTTTAAAGATTTTATTTATTTATTTAATTGACAGAGAGAGAGAGAGAGAGAGACAGCGAGAGAGGGAACACAAGCAGGGGGAGTGGGAGAGGGAGAAGCAGGCTTCCCGCCGAGCAGGGAGCCTGATACAGGGCTCG